CTGGCTCCTGGACCTTCTGACTGGCAGGCCCCAGACTGTCAGGATTGGCAATAGAACTTCAGCCAGCATTGTTACAAACACTGGCATCCCACAGGGATGTGTCCTCAGTCCCATCCTCTACACCCTGTTCACCCACGACTGTGTTGCCTCCCACAAAGACAACATCATCCTGAAGTTCGCGGACGACACTGGTCGCATCACTGGCGGGGACGAAGCAGCCTACAGGAGGGAGGTGGCGGTCTGGTGTCATGGTGCAAGGACAATAATCTCAGCCTCAACACGGACAAGACGAAGGAGATGATAGTGGACATGAGGAAGGAGAGGAGAACTCAGCCACTGTTCATCCAGGGGCTCGAAGTGGAGAGGGTGAGCAGCTTCAAATACCTGGGTGTCCACATCAGTGAGGACCTCACCTGGACACAACACCACACAGCAGGTCAAGAAAGCCCAACGGTGGCTGTACTTCCTGAGGAGGTTTGGCATGTCGCCTAGGATCCTTTGCAACTTCTACAGCTGCATCATTGAGAACATCTTGACCAGCTGCATCACTGTCTGGTATGGCAGCACTACTGCTATGGACCGCATAGCAGGATGTTGAGAAGTGTGAAATGCAGGACCTCCAGACTGAAAAACTCGTTCTTTCGCTCTGCCATCAGATTCCTAAACAGCTGAGGAGTTTATTACCAGGAACTATATCATGTACTGTCGACCTGTACTGTTTACATTCTCATGCACATGCATAATTGCACGTTGACTGTTGACTGCTGCACATGCTGCTCCCATGCAGCATACAGTCTCTTATTATATTGCTGCATTTGCCGCTTAAAGTGCCTTAGATTTTGTGTTACTTATTTATCTACTTTATATTTCATTTGTATTTTGTGGCATTCATGTGGACGGCAAAGTAAGAATTTCATTGTACAGGGAAACACGTTTCCTAACTGTGCATATGACACTTTGACTTTGAAGGATTAAAGGATGAGAAGTGGCTAACAGACAGTAACATGACAAACTGCTGCCTGCTGTGTTATAACCCAGTGTCTATAACAGAGAGCTGCAGAGCAAGACAGGGTCGCCTACTGGCGCACAAATGCAGCAATGATCTGACCAGAGCTGAGGGGTCGAGCAGGTCTGCCACTCCAAGGACGGTCAAGCTGCCGACCCGGGTCCTGATCTGACTGCCGTTCTTCAGCTGGTTGAGAGGCAGTGCCTGGCCCTCGGACAGGTGGAACTCAATGTCCCGCTGCGACAGGGTCTGCAGGGACACGTGGACACACAGGTGAGGACAGCACCAGGAACAGTCCATATACCTGGTACAGGCCTTCTGCTATGGCTGACCTGGTTGGCAGGTAGGCCACTGTTGTCAGGGACAAACAGGGTAGACTGGACCGTCACGTTACTGAGGCACCTCACAAACCGTTTCCCAGACTCAGACACCTGAGAGTAGTTCAGGATTTGCTGCACAGACAAACATACAAAGATGTATTTTATAATTGACAATTTATAATCAGTGGTGCATGGTGACAAACAGCAAGCGCCTGTGACAGTGAATGATGTTTTGTCTCGGATGTGAATGACCAGTGCAACGTGTCCAACTCACAGTGAGAAAGTTGGAGAAGGTGGGGGTGGATCTGAGCACCTGCAGCAGGTTTCCTGTGCACATGAAGCCGTCTCCAGTGTAGCCGAGCTTACACTCACACTTCACCTCTGAAACAGTACGCACACATGGACATGCTACTGATGATCGGTGTGACTGACCGGGCTTTTACACTAGCCAGGGACGAGGAACAACTTGTTTTATGTTACCAGTGTTCTGTAATCAGTGCTGCTTTATCATGCTGAAGATTAATTAATTCTCTCTTTTGTGAGAAGAAAGACAAATGTTTCAGCTTATAACCATGTTTTCTTTGCATGTGTAGTAAAACTACACAAGCTCCCTCTCTCACCCTTCATCCGGTAACAGAAGGAGTCCCAGGTCTCGCTCAGGTTTTTGCGGGTGCCGTAGTCCACAATGCCCACGTGTCCGAAGCCACATTTAGGACTGGAGTAGGTGGTGGGGTACGCCACCCGAGCCTGGTCCAGCCAGCCGGCAGCGCACATGTTTAAACCTCCCTGCAGAGAGCAACAGGACCAGCAGACAGCAGGTATAAATTGGACAGTCCCTCTCAAATTAAACTTACGGTTCACTTATATTTTCCTTCACTGTGTTGTCCTCTGTTTCTGGGTCAGAGTGATGTCTCTGCAGTCTCGGGGAAAGTCCCTCTGAGCTCAAATACCTACGAACATGAGTTGTAACATCACAAATATTCTGGAAGCCAACGCTGGACTAATGAGCAACTTCAGTAAGTGTAATATATAGAAGTATCACTTCCTGCACACGGACAAGGGAACGGGCATCATAGTGAAGAGGGAGATATTTTGTTTTTGTATTCAAAGATCCAGAAGTTGTCAATAATAAAAGTATTATAATAAACCGCAATAACAATTTTTTTTTACCAAGTTATATGAAGTTTTTTTTGTGGAAAAACACAAGACCTTGATGAACCTGTGTAGTGTTCACTGACCTGCTGAGCGTAGGACAGCTGAGTATATGTAGCCAGGCAGCCTCCCTCTGCAGCACAGGCCTGCTGAGCTGCAGTGTAGTTCAGTTTGTACTGACCTTGATCGGAACGGTAATGAAACACACCAAGCGTCACATCTGCACACAAACACAACGACACAGACACTGTATGTGAACACACTGTGTTTAAACATTATGGAGATGTTTGGAAAGTGCTGCCAAACAAGAAGCCCTTTAAATAGCATGGGCTGATCCCTAACTCACTGCTGAGAGCATGTGTGGTGTGGCAGCCAGAGGTCACTGAACGTCTCCATTTGTTAGGATGAAAACAAAACCCCGAAAGTGGAAAAGCCTGTGAGGACCAACTGAAGCTAGCGACTAACCCTACTGACAGAGATGTGGAGGCCGGACGGGAAGCACGAGAAGCACTGCTCTAAAATTCCGTATGCTGCAGCATTGCGGCTTTACTTGACTGGAACTAAAAGCCAAAAGGAAGCACAGACTCAGAACAGGGGTGTCCACATATTTTGCACATGCTGTGCACATCAACAGGCACAAGTCCTAACAACAGACTCTGATGCCACCTGACATCTCGGGGTGGGGGGGATCAGTGTCCATTGGCAGTCAACAAAAACCTCTGATGGACATACCTTCAAAGTGCAGGTCGGTGCATGTGGCATCCTGATGGCACTGCCCGTTGTCTTGGAGACAGCGGCTGATTGGCAGTTGTTTGACATCGCAGGTCATGCCATCTCCAATGTAGTTGTCTTTACATGTACACTTTTTCTTGCCCTGTTCATAACCACAGTTTACACTTTATCACGGCAGAGACACGTGTGAAACTAACAAAACAGTGAAGGTGTGGTCCTCACCGGAGCCGTCATGGCGCAGATGGCATGTTCGTGGCAGCCTCCGTTGTCTGCGGAGACACAGGGGTCGATGGGCTGACAGGTGAACCCGTCTCCTGAGTGACCTCTCGGACAGGTGCAGCTCACCATCTCTCCTTTCTGAGAACATGTGGCTCCTTTAGCACAACCGCCGTTCCAGACCTGACACATGTCCACCACTGCAGACACATCAGCTCCTGTTACTGTCTCATTATAAGGAAAACAAAGATCTGACACAGGATTAGAAGAGCAAGCAGTGAGCAGCTCCCGTGTGCAGTGTCCCCATGGACACACACACACACACACACACACACACACAACTGTCACGGGGTCACAATGGAAGGCAATTTAAAACCAGGAGGATTCTGAGGCAGGTTCTGCTCTGGTTTCCCTGTGGATTTACGGAGACTCATTCTAGGGGGACATCGCAGATGATGAGATCCTCAAGAAGTCCCACCGATCAGTTCAACATGTTTTTTCACATGCCGCTGAGTCAGGACCAGTTCTGACTCAAACTGTTGTCAAAGTATCCTCCTCTGTTCCCCTGGGCAACTGAACACTAAAGAAAATCGTACACCATTTCTTTGTGTTGTTCACAGACCGTTTACCTGTACAGGTGAATCCGTCTCCTTCATAAAATGGCCGACACACACAAGTGTTGTTTTCCTTGCACACGGCTTTTGGAGAACAGGACGGAGAACACTGAAGGACTTCATCTGGAGGAAGCACGCAAACACACTGTCAGTCTGGTCACACAAAGCAGTGAAATCATTTGGGAACAATTCAGTTTACACATTCGCCTCGACATTTCAGGCACAGACTGGCTCGTCATCAGTTCACAGGAAATCAGTGCAACATTTTGGTCTTTAAACACAACAGAAATCTACATGTCCAGGATCTGGCCAAGTTCCATCTGTTGAAGAAGGTCCTGACTCTGTGCTTCCTGGCAGATCAGGACCAGGGTTACCAGGTTTGACTGAATCAGTCACCACAGCAGTCACCAGACTTTGTTTTTAGGGGTCACATACCAAAAAAGCCAAGGAAACACTCACATTTATAAAAATATTATATTTTCCAGGGAAATCCTCCAGATCAGCTTGGTCAGATCATCACCACCTTTCATCATCTTGCTCAGAACGTCTTCCCTCCCTCTACGTTAATGTTAGCTGGCTTTGAACTGCTCTGTGTGGAACCCTCTCTCACTCACCTTGCTGGGTCTCACACCGGTCTCCAGTCCATCCGGCCTCACAGAAACACAAACCTGAACCTTTGCGTCCGTCGTCACATGACCCGTGCTCTGAACAGTTACAGGCTGAAAACACAACAGACTGTCAGCTTTATAAAACCTGCAGATGTTAAGCGCTGGACTGCTGCTCACCTGTACAGGTGGGTCCGTAGAACCTGTGGCTGCACTGCTCACAGGCCACGCCCCTGAAACCTGCCTCACAGGTGCAGGTACCATTGCCAAGTTGACCGTCATCACATTTACCATGGTCACTGCAGGGAGAGCCACTGCCGCCCGGACACGCTGCGCCGAGAGAAGAACATCATCATATTGACCATGCTCGTCTACATGTTCACTGAAAACACTTTGATTTTCTTGTTGCATCATGAAAGTGTTCACTCTGTTTACCAATAGAACAATGAAAACAGTTTTCAATCAGAATGAAATAGCAAATTACAGGGGGCCTTGATGGCCGAACGTTTACGGTGTGGCACGCCATATACTCAGTGCGCGCAACATCGGAGGTTTGAGTCCAACCAAAGTGTCCAGAGATTATTCACAAATACGGAAGCCCATTGGGGCCAAAAGAAAAAAGAAAATGTTTAAATATCAATAAAGACACTGTTTATGGTCACAATAATACATTTTTAAATCATAGTTACAACTTTTAATGTCAAAATATTGTCGTATCGATTAACTTATGAAAAATTAGGTAAAATGATAACTTTTATAGACAAATATTTATTTAAAATAACAATTATACCAAAACTATTATAAGTAAAAAGAGTAATTTTCTTTTAACTTTGTAGTTGATGACATAAAGAGCCTAAGTCAGGATTATTACTTTGTTAGTCCTAATGTTTCAGGTCCAAGTAAAAATAATAGGCAACCATGTGACTTTTTTGTTACAGTATGAACTTTATATTTGTCAGGTTTAAATGATAACTTTTTACAGCAAAATGATCATTTTTAGGATTAAAACCATTTTTATGGTAAGATTAAGACAAAAGCTAAGAAGTTTTAATTTTAGCTTTTAAAACTTAAAATTAAATAAATGATTATTTCAAAGCCAAAACTGTAACCTGTTAAACTGAAATGCTGTCACTGTAAAAATGATTCAGTAACATTTTCTAGCTTGGTGTCTATATAATCTACAGTATTTCTGACTCACCAGAGTTCAGACCTTTTGTTTTTTCAAACAAAGCTGAAAACTTGCTGAATGTGGTAATAATGTTACACAAAAAGTGATTCAGTCTTCAGTGCTGTCTCACCCAGACAGTCTCGTCCGTAGAAACCACGGCAGCACTTTGGTTGCCAGAGGTTGACGGTGCAGATGCTGCGACAGCCAGAGTTCTTATGGACCAACAGGGCGGGAAGGTCGCACTTCTGGACCTCCTGAACACAGAAGACCACCGAGGAAGAGTCAGGTTCTCGACACACAGAGGTCACGTTCAGGAGTCTTCCTGATGCATTTAGAGGCGAGGATCATACAGACCTTTTCTTTGAAGCCTCTGGGACAGCGATCACGCAGGGAGAACTCGCACATTCTACAGTTCATCTACCACAAAAGAAGAAAACATCAACACAAGACTAACAGCGTCATGAACAACTGACTGGAGGAGCCTCTGCAGTGCTGCTGAGCGTAGCGTTAAATCAATTAGAAACTGATCTTTGATGATCAATTAATCGTTCATTTTTCTAGAACCAAAGGGAAACATTCACTGGTTCCAGCTTCTGAATGGGAACACCTTTTATGACATCATATGACCATAATCTGAATACCCATATATGGGGAACTGGTGGACATCTGAAGACATCACCTTGGACCGCCGGAGCTTTGAACTTCTAATTTCACTGTTTCCAAGTAGTTTAGAAACCTGTGTTCTTTTAGCGCAGGAGTTGACACGTGAGCAAACTGCAGATGCCGGTGTCCGCACACCAGGGAGCAAGGATCAGTGGATAAAGTGAGGATTCACCGGAAGGTCAAAGGTCGTCTGTTCATCACATCGTCCTCCGAAGCTGGGTGTAGTCAGCAGGCAGTCAATCCCGTAAGCGATCCCGCCATTAAAGACCAGGTGTCTCTGAGTGATCCGACACTTTCCATCATTAATGAAGATTTCTCCCTGTTCAAAAGGAAATGCATGTTTTAACAAGATCCCACGTGAACTCTTCTTCCTATTTCCGTCACACTTACAATGTTGTCTGTCCCGCCACACATGAAGGAGAGCGGTGAGCCCTGCAGAGTCCGAGCCGAGTCCAGGTGGATCAGACCTTCAGCATAAACCTGGGTGTGGAGAAGAAACAAAACACACAGAGAAAACTGTGACGCTGCCGGCCTCGCAGGTAATGTCCCATTTTCCTCTCACTCAGTAAAGGGACGCATCTGCTTCATGAACACAGGGAATGTCATTTTCCCTGTAATGAAAGGTTTTTCTGCCCACTCGGTTTTTCTACTACACCTAGGTGATTTCTGCTTTGTCAGGTGCGCTATCAGCAGCGTGCTGACAGCGTTTTGTTGACCCTGTCTTAACGAAAAGGTCGTGAAATTTTCTGCACCTTGTGGCTCTGCAGGATGTGGTACTTGAGGTACTCCACCAGCTGTGCTTGGTTGTCTCGGTGAAACAGGAAGTCCTTCTGCTCCTGCGGCAGAGACGCCATGACACCATCTGAGGGCAGGAAGACCGTCAACGGCTGGTACATCCCATCGTTCACCAGGTGCATCACACCTGTGTCCTGAGGCACAGATATCACAAATACCATGAACCTCGATGACAGAAACCTATCCTTATATCAGCGCAGAATGCCGTTTTCTCACCTGCAGCAGTTTGCAGAAGGTCATGTAGCCGTGACGCTCAGCCACATCGGTCAGGTTCAGCTGCGCCACATCCAGTAGACACGAGAAGGGTTTAGACAATCTACTGATTAGTGAAATCACCGAAGCAGCTCCAGGACTGTACTACTGCTTAGACCATGTGAAAAGCTTTTAGTTTGGGCTGTTGTCAGCATTATTAATTGAATAATCAGAAGCTAATCGATCAATAACATTGTGTTTGCACTGACCGGGGGGTCTGGATCGTCCTCTTTGTCCAGGCCTGGAGGAAACAGGATCTTGTTGATCTCATGGATGATGCCGTTCACACTGATGCCATAGCTGTACATCACACCCACCTCGTTGATCGAGATGCTGCCCTGAAACACACAGTTTTATTTCCTACCAAGCAAAAGACAACGTAACGTCCTTTTCTCCGTTAAAGCCACATTAAGCCGGCACCTGAAGGCAGTTACACAGGGACTATACCTAAGGAAATGTGAAGTTTTCCTTCCTGGTTTCACTGAGTAATCACATTACACAGGAGTATTAAAATGGTCAAAACTGAATTACATGAAACATTTCACAGCATTAGGGCCTTCCACCTGTCTTCCAGCCCTGTATTTCATGTTTTATCATACTTTGTGCTGTAAAGGAAGTTACTACCGTCTCTGTCTTTGCTGTCAGGTTTAAACAGAACGGGGACAGGCTTACTGGTTTACTGGGGCTTTTGCACCAGATTTTTATTGCATTGTCTTACAGAAGGTTTCCTCAGCTCAGGTCAGTTCGTCTCCCTCCTCAGAGCTTGCATATGAAAAGGAGGACCACACAGACAACAGATATGTTACAGGAATTGGATCATGTATTTTCCTGGATTTACTGACAGTAAAGTTGCACAAAGTCAGTTGCGTCGTTGAATTCTCTGCTTCTGAAAAGCAGCCATAAACACACGCTGGATGGAACTGACAGTTGAAGCTGTGAATGGAAAGAAATGACTTCAACCACCCAGAGAGCTGCACTGAATCAGCTCAACACATCAGTCTGACTTTCAGACAGAAACATGGAGCACGACTGCTCCTGAGACAGGTGACACAGGTGTGTGCTCAGTGTCGGTACCTGGATGGACCTGGTGGTCAGGATGAGTCCGGACAGCGACGTCAGGTTTCGGGGTCGGCTCAGGTCGGCGGGCAGCAGCGTGTGACACATGACGATGTGGCTGCGCAGAACAGCGGCAAACTTTTCTTTACGTCTCCTCGTCATCAGTGACTTCATCTGAAAAAAATAAAACACCTCTAATAAACAGGAGCCAGACAACAGGTGTCACCAGAGTCAATGCCTAAATCGTTCAGTTTTTAAATAATTTGTATTATTGTGTACTTCATTCATGATGTTTTATAAAAATCTCTCAGGTGAAGTGTCAACACTTGTATGTACACTCAGGCATGGTGCATGTTTAGATGAAGGTCGTGCCAACAGATAAACATCCACAGAGGGATGATTCATTCGTTCACATGCCTTTGGCTATAGACCCACCTGCAATAAAGCTGTGCTAAGTTTTGAACAACAAAGTTCAGCCTGTTCTTTATGGGCTGATGGCAGTCTTCCTCATGGCGTCCACATTCACTTCCCAGCAGACCCTCAGCTTTGTTTAGCAGCTGACTTTGATTCATGTCTGTTTTCTATCATCATTTATGAGCCAACAGCCTCACAGCCTCACACACTCAGAAAACACATTTTCTTTTACATAACTGATCCTTGCTTTAACATTTGTGCTGATGACAGAGTTCACAACAACAAAGTGAGTCTTACTTCAGTGTAAGGACATTGTTACAGCCACGACCAGTCACTAACTGATCTATAACCAGAAACTCCTCACAGACCAAAGATGCTGTTAGCACTGCACTAAGTCCACATCCTGGTATGAAAACTAAGCCATGGATATGTGGAAAGATCATTTTTGCGTTGTAATTTCTTTCACTTCCACCTTGTTGTGTCTGTTTCTGTTGGCCTGACCTTTTTAACCCAGTCATTTGCTTCCAAACAGCAGCTGCCTAATGTTTAGTCAAACCATACACTGCACTGATGATAAAGGTCAGAGGATCCCAGGAGTTACAACAGGTGGTCCTGAAGCACGTTTTTGTTGTTGAGATGTTTCACTCTGGCCCCAAGCGACTGATATTAACACAGAACATGGTCAAACATTTAAATACGGGAAGAAAACATCCAGCAGCACATTGCTCACCCTGCTGGTCCCGTTCCTGTCGGCTGCAAAGGCCTTGGTGTTCGGAGCAAAGACGGTGAATGGGCCACGGCCTTTCAGAGAAATCTCCACCACCTGAAACCACAGTTTGTACTCCAGTGAATCTGGTTTCACCCGCAGGAGGCGGTAGAGTGAAAGGGGGCGACACTCACAGCCAGGCCCAGTTGAAACTCTCGCAGCCTCCGAGTCAGGAGTTCCTGCACAGAGCCCACAGTCAGACTCAAGAACCGGTCACAGTTTGTTAACGGGAGGGAGAGGGGGACACAGATGCTCACCTTCCCCACAGTGCCTCGGCAGACTAATCCATCTCCGATATAGTTAGCCATGCATGTGCAGGTACGAACACCTGGGACCGTCATGTTACACCTGGCATACTGGTGGCAGCCGCCGTTCTTCTGGAAACATCCACAGCACATGGGTTAAAGACAGGGGCGTGTTGCTGTGTAGAGCTAAGCCATCCTGTAGATAAACTCCACACAGGACAGTGACAGTGCTAACCACTGCACCACCAGGCCGCTCACACGGCTCAACCATCACTGGCCAATATCAAAGTTTTCTGAGCAAATGCACACGCACACACACACACACACACACACACACACACACACACACACACACGTGGCTTCATTGGGATCAGGACATACGTGTAACCTTGAAGTGAGTTATCTTTCAGTTCGCCAAGCTTTTAGGTTCACAGTATTATGGTGGAGTGGTGGTTAGCACCGTCACCTCACAGCAAGAAGGTTCCAGGTTTGAGCCCCGGCCGGCCCAGGGCCTTTCTGTGCAGAGTCTGCATGTTCTCCCTGCATGGTACTCCAGCTTCCTCCCACAGTCCAAACACATGCAGCTTAGGCTGACTAGTGACTCTAAATTGCCTGTAGGAGTGAGTGTGGGCGTTTGTCTACATGCCAGCCCTGGACAGGCCAGCGACCTGTCCAGGGTGGACCCAGCCTCCTGCGCAGTGTCAGCTTGGATTGACTACAGCCCCCAGGCCCTGTTCAGGATGAACGGTGTAAATAATGGATGGAACTTCTGTGTGCTCCCAGTAGTTGATATAGCATGATCTAATAGTAATTTTGTGTTACCAGGTCTTTATCATTTATTTGTCAGAGACAAATACACGATTAACATCAACATGTAAATGTGTTAGTTACTCAAAAGGCTAAATTTCAGCTGTAAGTCCTTATGTCATACAGTAAAAAGCAAACAAAACAAAACGTATTACATCTGATTTATCTCGAATGACTACTTTGTCATTTCCTTCCAGTAGCTTCTTGTTACCTGGCAGTACTTTTGTATTCCCATGTAATATTTTTACTTAATAATAATAATAATAATAATAATAATAATAATAATATTTTTTCATTGCCTCATTTGCTTTGAAGGACTTTTTGGTACTTTTACAATACTTATGTGTTGCTTCACAGTACTTCTCTATTTCTCTGCATAACTTTGTCATTAATTGGAGACTTCTGTGTACGTCTGCATTACTCACCCATACATACCCTTGCAGTTCTTTTGAGCACCATCACAGTTGATAGAAATAGCTCTCATATCTCATAGTACTTATGTTAAGGACTTCTGTTGACTTTTACAGCATGTATGTGCTGCCTTGTAGTATTCCCACAGTGTTTACATGATAGGAATTCGAGGAGCACTGCATACTATTAAGTTACTCCTGCAGAGCACACAAAAGTCTAACAGCCTGACAATAAAAAGAAATCACTTTAATCCCAATTTCAGACAATGGGCAAGTCAGCAGAGCCTGAGGATCTTTAACATACAGAACTGCAGTGGGAAATGAGAAGATGCCTTGCACTGTTCTAAACTCAAAATTAACTCTAAATGTGAATTTATATAAACAGATGTGGATGTTTCAGAATTTTTCAACTAAAATGAATTTACATGTTTAGCCACTGGGGAAATCTGGCATTAAGCAGAGTCGATTGTGTAGATTTTGTGAGAAAGAGGACAAGAAATCATTTCATTTGTTCTGGTATTGTAGAGAAGTAGAACTGTTTTGGATGGAAGCTGAAAAGCAGGTTTCTTCCCACAGCACAAGCTTCTATAGTTGTCATTTCAGTATTATGTTAGGATTTAAGAGAAAATAAGGAAGGATAAATTCTGTACAATATTGTCATTATGATGGAAAAATACTTTATAATTAAAAGTATACAGCGACAACAACTAAATATAAAACATTTTGAAAAGTACTTCAAGCTCCAGTTTTTTCTAGAAAGGCTACAACTGAAAAAATAATTTAATATTTAAATTGTGAAGGTGGGTGGAATCTTGAGTTGATATTTACATAGAGGTGTGCCCATATCTAATTGTTAATATAAATAAATGAAATATATTTGTGCACATCTAATACATGCATTTAGAGGTGACTATGTGTTGCTGTAAATATACTGTACCTTTAGGAGATATCTGTGGTATTACTGTACCTTTTGGCCCGAGAAAAAGTGACCCTCTGGTTTTCTCCCTCAACAAACAATAAGATAATTGTCTTCTTTTTGTTTCTTTTGGATACTGTATTTGTTTTTTCCTTTTATTTATTATTTATTTTTGACCCAAACGTATTGTGAGGGTTTGTTAGGTACGTTTAGCAGAATCCCCTGTCAAAGAGATCTTCAACTCCCGCCTCCGGCAGAGCTTTGACCAGATCCCGGGGGAGGCTGGAGCTATTGAGTCCGAGTGGACCATATTCTCCACCTCCATTGCCAATGCGGCCGTTCGGAGCTGTGGCCGTAAGGTCTCCCGGGCCTGT